TAATCTGATTTATGCATATTATGTAGCCTCATCAATACATTACATCAGGCCGTTATGACACTCTCGGGTGTCAATTCCCCATCAAGGACCCCCCCCAGGATTCATGATTGAGGAGGCCTCTACAATCCCAGTTTCTTTTCTTCCTATACCATCCACTTTCACATCTCCCAGATCATCATCACATGACACCTTGGCCTTCACAAACATCACCCCAATACAAATTTGTATATATCATCCAGTGAAACAAAGAAGAACCAGTGGCAAGAAAGAGCAGCCCACTGAGACGAAAACCGTGAGCAATCCCCATAAGCTACATGGCATTCGGACATCCATTGGATCTTTGAAGAACAAAGCATTTGGACCGATCCATGGTTGAGAAAAAAGCCCAGACACCGGCATCGCTTATACATAAGCATCCACTTTGTACGGAACATGACCTTCATGGGCACCCGCGCAAATGGGACGTCACACACTCTTGTTTTCTCTCTTATGTATCTGTGCACTTTGCTTCATTCGCAGCATCCAAGCCGCATCCAAGCCTGTCATTCGGAATCCATCCCATTGTCCCCGTCAAATTTTATGACGTTTAACAGTATCTCGATTGGGGGCCGCAACCAACGTACGGCACATCTATCCAGTATACCGATATCTATGTGGCCGTATCGACGGGTTGGTTGGGACTCTGGCTTGACTCCCCGCGCTGTATGGCCCTCAGCTTGTTGTGTTTATATACGTTCTGCAGGTTCTGGGGACGACAGACTTGACTTGAATCATGAAGAGTCAGGGAACGTCGCAACAAAGCTCTCGATCGCTCCTGCGGTGTAGGAAATAGGACGTTGCTGTCTTGGAGACACATGTGGCCATCTTGAGAAGTATTCGCTCGATCCAGAGCCAGGCGCGGAGTTGAACAAATTCCTGGGAGCGAAGCGCCCCACACCCTGAGGAGCGTTCCAGGACACTTTAAAGGTAAGTCAATGGCAGACGCCTCCTGCGGAGCCGGCCACTGAATTTGAAAGAGGCCGGCGCGCTCCGGGCGTGACCGACCCAGGAAGCGAGGAGATTGTGTCAAGCCGTGTAGCAGATGCCTCCACGATCCCTCGGACTTCTTCATGAGCGAGATCGAAGTTTTCAAGAAGGCTCTTGCTAAACAATCAGCCAGAGATCGACTCCCGACCAAGTCTCTGATCCAGGCTGACCAATCGAGCCACATTATCCATCCATACATTGGGCTCAATCTCTTGACCCTCGGACAAGAAGTAAGGGTTATGTCGAGAAAACAGCCCTTTTTTTTGGGGGGGGGGGATCGTGTCTATCTCAAGGTTGGCACGAGCACTTGTAAAAAAAAAAAAGAGACTGCTCGGTGAAGCGTGTCTCAGCCGTCTGCAATCAGCTCGTCGAGTTGCACAGTTTCATCGATCCGGTCTGCCCCCTCATTCTTAAGCAACACCCAAGCTTGTTGTCTGGTGGTCCTGACGTGGATCGCTCGCTCTGGATCTTGATAACTCTCTTTTTGTCCACTCCAGCCTCCACTGAAACCGCGCGTGATCAAAAGTGGAGAGTACGTCAATCGTTTCCCGGCTGATGAAGCGAGAATGATCATGTTTAATAACGGAGCAAGACTTCCGGCGACCCGCTATAATCGCCGTTTTTTTCAGATTTAGATCTTTGGATAAGAATAATAGACCAAGCGATTAGAATCGGAAGAAGAGGCGATGGGGAGTTTTCGGTATTGCGGCGTGCCGAGTGTATGGCTCCTTATCCTCCTTGTACTTCTTGCCACAAGGCTGGATGGTAGCGAGGCGCTGATGATGATGATGAAGCAGGGGAAGATCCAAGAAGGGTCTGAGTATCATGTGATTGAAGCAGGAAGATGGGAGGTGGCTGTGGAGGTGGACGGGGGGAAGCTCCGGTTCTTTGTCGACGAAGAAGGCTCGCAACGATGGAACATCCTCAACGACTCGCCTCATCCGGTTTTCTTTCGCCTCCAACTCTTCACACCTGATCAGCCGAAAAAAAACACTCTCTCACAAAACAGTCTTCACCTTGCTGATGATGATAATGGCCAAAAGATCCTAGTCGATCAGGGGCGAATCAAGCCTACCCATTCCCGCCGCTTGAGCTTCAAGATTAACGAATCCATCGTGCTCCAGTTCGCACTCGAGAGAACCGCTGGCGAAGCAGGCATCCTCCAATCATCCCAGGCGTGGCTTACAAACCTCTTCAAGAATTAAAGGCCCGTGCTCACGTAGTCAATTATCCGATTGCCTTTCTTCTTCTTGTGAGCTTGTGTGAAGTCTGGATTTTCTTTGAAATATATATTTACAATCATCCTGTGTTGGTACTTTGCACACTATTGTATGTATCATTGTAACCAAAAAGAAGGAATATATATACACATGTTGTAACCAGCTTTTTGTTTTTCTGCAAGCTAATACATACCACAGAAGCAACCCACGATTACTAACCCACAAGTATCCCATTTTCCATCGATCAAAAAAAAAAAAGAAAAAAAGATGTTGACATTTTGTGTTTTTGTGTTTTTGTTTTTGATAAATAAAATAAGATAAAATACGATAAGATAAGGTAGGGAAAGAAGAATCAGAAAAAGAGAGATCCATTACAAGAAATGAAGTAATATACAAAACGAAAATGAACCATGAAATATACAAAAAAACAAACAAAAACAAAAACAATGATGATGAGGATGATGAGGATGAGAAGAGGAAGCAAGAGATCTATTATTATAAGAAGAAGAAAATGAACGCGAAGCAAACCAAACGATGAATGAACAAAACCAAAGAGAGCCTATGAAAAAAAAAATCCCGATCTAAGAAAGAAAAGAACAACCGGAGAGAGAGAAATAAATTCTAGATGAGAAGAAGAAGCACAAACAAGTAAGGGGGGGGGATAGAAGACCGATATAAGAAAAAAAAGAGGAGTTAAGATTGGTGATAAGAATAGAGATGATTAGGACCGTTACTCGAAGGATTGCCGGCAGCCGCGGCAGCCGAAGCCAAAGTAGTTGCGGACGAGGATCCGGGAAGGAGCGGGGCAGGAGCAGCGGCCGACGCGGGTCTACCGACGACCGGCCCAGGATGATGATTATTGAGCGACGCTTGATGTTGGGGATTAAGATGAGGATTAAGAGTCAATGGCTGTTGTTGTTGTTGACTGGGAAGAGGGAGGAAGCCGAATTGAGCCTGTTGTTGTTGTTGTTGTTGTTGGATGTTGAGCGGGAAGCCGTAGACCGATTGGTGGGTCGATAAGGTGCCCGATGGGTTGGCTCCATTCGCAAGCGATTGTTGTTGTTGTTGTTGTTGTTGAAGTAAAGGGGCTGCCGAATAGGGATACGGAGCACCCACCATATACTATTTTTTTTTTAAAAAAAAAATGAAAAGGATTAGTCGATAGAGTTTCTCCTTTAAGTAGAGAAAGAGAGAGAGAAAAAAAAAGAAAGCAGAGGACGGACTTGTTGGGCATTGAGGATAGCTTGTTGTTGGAGCTGAAACTGATGTTGCTGGAACATCATCTGTTCATAAGGCGTGGGCATTCCAGCCGCAGTGGGGAACAAATGCGGCTGATGATTATACATCATTTGGAGCATGGGGAGCTGATTGAATCCGGGCTGATTAGGAAAGCCCATGGGACCAGCGCCGGCCATCATGAACATAGATTGACGTTGAAGCTCGTCGGTTTCGCGTTGCCGGAGTGCGCGTTCACGCGCCCGTTCGGTCAACATAGCCCCCATTCCACCGTCGCGTTTACGGTCGCGTTCGTGGGAGGCTATCGCCCCCAGAAGGCCGCTCTGGATCGGCGGCGGCTTGTGGTTGACTTGCACCAACGGTTCGCCGCTCCAATGGGCCGCCTCCTGGATCGACTTGGCCGACTTCTCCTGTCGCTCTTGCATCACTCGATGGAGTAATCCATGTTGGCTGAACGCCGGTCGTAGGCCGTTGTTCTCGGCTCCCGTCTCAGCCGGTTGGTCCCGTAAGACCGCTGGCACCTCCCGGCGATTCGCCGGGTTCGGAAATTGTCCCATCTCTCCTCCTGCTCCTCCTCCTGAGCCTCCAGCAGAACTCACTGCCTGTGATATCGGTCGACTATCTGAAGTAGGCCCACCGGTACTGTACATCGAATACGTCCCTTCTCGTGTGGTCGCTTGTGGAAGAAGCATGGTTTTTCGCTCTTGATTGGCTTGGAATCCTATAAAAAAAAGAACAAAGAGCTGTCTCAGACAAATTCCTCTTGAGAAACAAAAAAGAGAGGAGACTTGAAGAACTACAAACCTCTCTCGGAATTGACTTGAGAAATTGATGACGGCATGGCAGTCGTTAACCTATGCTTCTTGAGTCTGTCATCTTCTTCTCCCTCTTCATCCTCATCCTCTTCATCATCATCATCGTTGGGGTTCTCGTCATCATCGTCGTCCTCACTATCACTACTATTCCAAGATGAGGGAGGTTTCTTCTGGCCAGCGGAGGCGGTACGCCCGGGCTTACCGGGCCGGAAGCCGGAGGCTTTGCCTGCGGCTTGGGCAGCTTGAGCGGCAGCGAGTCGGGCAGCACCCTTTTTTCCCGCAGCGAACGAGGAAGGGAAGCTGGGCTTGACAGCTTGTGCATCTGGGCTGATGGGTGCCGAGTTGGGCTGAGGCGAAACGGAAGCAGGAGGCGGCCTGGAGAGGAACTCGAGCTGAGGTGAATCAGAGCGGGTGCTGGGAGCTTGTGCCGATTTGGATGGACCGATTGAGTCTTCTTGTGGTGGTGGGACCATGGGTGATTCTTGATCCACCAAACTCAGCGCATAGATCATATCCTCGTAACCTTCGGGGATGGGATCGTTTGCGGCTGACTGGGAAGCGGCTTGGCGAGAAGGGGAGACAGGATCGGGAGGGTTATCCGAGGAGGATTGATGTGTTTTCTCGGTGATTGGAGCCAGTGTTGCTGATGGAGATTTGCTTGGAGAAGAGGCAGGGCTAGGGCTTGAGATGAGGAGCGATGTAGGCACTTCGGGCGTGTCGACAGGATCTTCATAAGTGACATAGGCTGCAAAGGACACCAGGTCATCATCGAGCGTCGAAAGTGGTCGGGCGGGTTTTCCCACCTCGAGTAGTTCGGATTGACTCTGTGGAGTGACTGGGGAACGGGAATGATGATCGGAGGATGGGGGCTCGGAGGTTGGGGGGCGTAAAGCCTGGGCAGTTTCCGATCGAATAGAATCAGAAGGGGCCGAGAATATCAATCATGGAGGAGTGAACGGGTATAGATTACAATTTAATAATAGACAGCTCACGTTTTCAGGGATTTCCGAGGTTAATGGTGGATCAGAGTAGGATGAATTCGGATCGGAAGCCGGACTCTCGGAGGCGGGGCTAGGCTGGAGTGTGACTGAAGGAGGGCTTCTAGGAGTAGAAGAGTGATCGAGGGATTTGAGGGCGGGTTGGGAAGAGGGAGACTGAGCAGAGAGATAGCTCAGAGGCTCGTCGATCGATTGGGGTGTGGTCACGATCGGTTCGTATGGCTCGTGCACAGACTCGGGTAAATCGGCCACGGATTTGCGCGGTAGGTGGAGACGAGCAGCGACAAGCGAAGTAAATTTCTGTCGGAGTTGGGCGAGACTGTGTTCCTGCACATCGAGACTTTCGGCTACGGTTTGGCAATCTAAAAACAGTCGCTCTCGTTCAGGCCCCTAAGGATTCATTGCAGACCAAACCCATCTTATCAGCTCTAGAAATCCACAAGATATGAGACTGGACCACTCCCGATGGCCCAGAACTTACGATTGGGTAAGCAAAATAAAAACTGTTGGGGTCGGTTGGATCGTAGTTAAACTTTGCCGGTTTACCGTACAACCTGAAAGCTGACATGACGCCTAATAGCCAACCCAACATATCGCATTCAGTTCCCTCGTCAGGAGTAGCCAGGATGAATCCTTCTTGATCGACAGAAGCAGTTTGGGATTCTGAAGGCCGGCCGTCGTGACTAGCCATGATACCTTCGAATCGACCTTCAAGCTTGAACATGGTCGATGACTCGATCAGCGCCCTCGATTCAGGATAGACGGCTGCTGCGAAGCTGATATTGGTGAGTATGCCGATATGTTTCTTGGCTCCTTTCTTGGGATAGAAGACTAATCCAGGCTCGGTACGAGTTGCATCAGGATCGATGAGCGTTGTAGATGAGGAAGGACTATGTTGAGTCTTGTTAACTAATCCGGCTAGATTGAAGAGACTGCCCCGACGATTCCATTTGTTATCCTTAAGGTAGTAGTTCTGAGGGGCAGTACCGTTGAGCAAGGCTTTATCACGAACGAGGACCGCCCAGACCTTGGTCCATTCGGTATCCTTAGGGAAACGGATGGTGAGATAGCCTTCAGCTTTCTCGTTAGGGGTTGGCGAATCGAGATGGTTGAAGAAGCGAAGGCCGAGGAGAGTGCCGGTGTAGATCTCGAAGAGTCTCGATCGTTCCCAGGAGGAGAGTCTGATGGCGGAAACCCAGGCGAGTAGGGAATGTTGATCGAGACAGGCAAAGCCAAACTTATTACGACCAGCGTTATTGAGGAAGAAGAGATGAGGACTGGGTGGGTTGAGAAGTTCGGTTGAATGGGCGGAGGAGTGCGGGTCGGGAAGGTCGACCCGGGCGTCAGTGATGTTGGTGTAGGTCGGTGCTACCTGTCGACCCTCTTGGGCAGCCATCTCGATCTCGGCGGCATCCCAGCAGGACATGGTCGTTCCGGCAATCTGAACGTAGTACTTAGCCCAGAGCGCATTCTGATCGGTTCGTTTGGGTGGAGCCCCGTCGGAGAGTAGGATGGTGCGTCTGAAGATGAAGCCTAGATAAATATTACGGGAAAGAGGTCAGGATGGATTGATAGTGGTTTAGTTCAGGTTGGGAAGAAATACCTTCGTAATAGAACTTGGGAAGTCTGAATAGATCGATGAGTCGTTCGAGGTCATGAGTTGGTGTTAAGCCGGTTCCGGTTGGTTGAGACATTCTTTGAGGAGGAGAAGGAGATGGAGATGGAGAAGTAGAAGGGTGTGGTGGAGTGGTGAGTAGAAGATGAGCCAAGTTGGGTTTTCATCAAAAACTTAATTTGCTATTATGGCTTATGCACTAATTAAACTCACCAGGATGTTCACACTCTTTTACATAATGATGTTTTTTTTTTTTTTGAATTTTCAATCTGAGCTGATCAAATCATACATAACATCACCACTTTGTCTCAGTAACAACATCGAGAACTACACAGCATCAAAACTAGGTCAAGCAAACATCTCATTGGGCTCATTTCCAGAACTGTTTATCTGCACATCAGCTGATTGGAAATTTTGCAGAGCTTTTTTTGGTTCATATTTGTACAATTATTTATGCTGGTGAAGAATGTGGGATCTAACTGCTTGATTGTTGATTGGTCTCTGGACAACCATCAGGGGGGGTTCACAATAAAAATTTATCAAGTTTTTATACCCAATTTTGAGGTCCTTGTTGACAAGATTTGAGAAAAATGAACACATTTTTGGGGGTTTCTGGACAATAAGAACCACTTTTTCATTTTTCAAAAAGTTGTCAATCCTTTAGATGGGCTTAATTAAAAATTTTGTAAACTTTCTGAAGTGTACAGTGGGTAGACAGTGAAAAGTGGCTGCTTATTTTGGATTCCAGAGCTCCAAAACATAAATTTGAAATCATGAGACTTGGTCAGGTGGTGCATAATAGGTCCCAAAAAATGAAGGGGCTTGGTTAATCGACTCCCCAAAATTGGAGAGTTGACTCCCAAACCCCAAAACCCCCAAAATTAGGGAGTCGATCCCCCAAAACCGTCGACCGGTTTGGGAGTCGACTCCCTAAGAATTTAAAAAAAATAAAATAAAAACCCCCGGTTGGTTTGGGAGTCGATCCTCCCAAACCGACCAGGGTTTGGGGGTCGATAAACCAAATCAACCCCCACCCCACGGCAGCGGCCGGGAGAATTCCTCCCGGCCGTGAGACCACATTCTGGCAGCCAACAGGGGAAACCCTCTCGGTTTCCGAGGATTTTCACTTATAACCATTCTTCTGATATCCTAATCTTGCTTTCTCTGAGCACTCTCACTCCCCCAAAATGACTTTCAAAGCTTTTGAGAAAGACAAAATTTATTTTCTATTTTTCACAAATTTTGACACTTTGTCTTTTGGTTTTATTTTTTCATATTCATTTTGGGGCTTGCTTCACTGACTTCCCAAAATTGGAGAGTCGGCTCCCAAACCCCGAAACCCCCGAAATTAGGGTGTCAATCCCCCAACAACGTCGAGCGGGTTGGGAGTCGACTCGAATTTAATAAAAAAAAAATAAAAACCCCCGGTTGGGTTTGGGAGCCGATGCTCCAAACTCAACAGGGTTTTGGGGGTCGATA